CTTAAGAACCACTATTTTAGTTTCTCTTTCTCCAGCAAGACTTTGAACAGCAAACAGTTCGTTGCGCAGAGATTCAATGGTAAAACTCTGTAGTTTATCGCCGTGCTCAACCAGTGCTAGCTTTGCGAAACAACTGTTTAGGTCCTTGTCCTGTTTTCCAATGTGAAGGTCTGATCTGATGAGCTTCTCGTTCAAGTCAACCGTCATTACTCTCATCTTTTGAAGTTCATTTCGAAGATAGTCAATCTCCTTTTCACGTTCGGCATAACGTAGTTCCACCGCCTTCATCTTCTGTTTTTGAGCCTGGTACTTGTTAATGATATCCCTTGCCTTGAGACACTTTTCAATGGCGTACTTGTGAAGTACAAGATTTTCGGCAGCAGGGTCTGAGAATTCATCAGAGTCTACCTCGCTCAAATTTTTTGCGTAAGAACCTGCATCCGATTCAACATCAGTTAGATGAACAGAGGAAGTAAAACAGTTATACTCATTAAGAAGGCATTTAGCAGAATTATTAGAGTAGTTATAGTTCTCAGTCATCTCAGGTTCATCCTCCTCGTCATCACTGGAGTCGGACCATGTAGCCTTGAATGTCTTATTCTTCTTCTTGAAATTAGGGCACTCCTTTTGAAAGTGGCCGATTCCTTTGCACTCGCGGCACTGGTCTTTTTCTACTCCTTGATTAGCATTCTGAGACTTGTTAAATTGCATGTCAGACCTCCTTTCTCCAAGTTGCTGAATTTGGTTCCTGCCACCTTCAAAGGACCTGTTGCCCTGAAATCTCCTTTTCTAGAATTTCTTCAGCTTCGAAACATTTTTGGTAAGCACGGTGAGAGCCTTTGTGATTTCGTCAGGATCAAAAGATTCTTCATCGGATTCGTCATTCTCAGCAACTGTAGTACGAACTTTGGCCTTTACCGCAAGCCCTTTCCCTTTGCTTATCCTCATAGAGTCAAAGCCATGGTTGATTTCAAAGGTGCGAAGTTCACTTAGAAGATCATCGATGCCAAGCTTCTGAATCCTCTGAAAGCTTTCTAGTGCAGTAATTTTAATCCCAAATCTGTCCGGTAGAGTTCTCATCAGTTTCTGCACTTGTCTAGCTTCTGGAACCGGCTCACCAAGCATTGCACTTTGGTTAACCAGGTCGCAGAACCGAGCATAATACATGTCAATGGTTTCATCCTCCCTCATACGGATCTCATCGAGTTCAGTTGAGACTCTTTGGAGCTTTGATGTTTTAACCGCATCCGTGCCTTCAAATTGTCTCTCCAAGATCCTCCAGGCTTCTTGAGCAGTCGTGCACTGAATTATTATCTTGTGCCGGGTGGGATCTACAGCAGACATGATGGCATATAAAGC